TTCCATCTGGCGAGGTCCATGTGTATAGTCGTCTCTTATACTGTCTAAAGAAGGTATTTGAAATAAACAAATCATTTGTTTTGCAGAAATCTATCATTCGTTCTCCAGCATCATTTCTATCACCAAGTCCAAATTTCCAACTATTGGTCCTTCCTCTTTGCTTTCCAATCACTAGTAATGAGCAATACATCTTGATTGCATGTTTGATCGATTTCAGATTGAAGAAGTTGGTAGAATTCTTCTATTTCTTCTTTATATGGGTGTCACTGATTTATGTGTTTTATGTCTGATGTGATCAGGGGTTCGAGGCTCCTAGTTGAGCTGTCCTGAAGAAAGGCTGGAATGGACAATGGTTGGAGTCAAGAGTCTTACTAAGTTCACTTGCTTTGGGGCCCTGGGGAGCTACTCAGCCTCTCCAGCCAAGGATTCCCGCTCTTATAAAGGGGTAATTGTTGTTGTTGTTAAGTAACATGGAGTCGGTTCTGACTCCTAGTGACTCTGCACAGGGTTTCCGAGGCTGTAAATCCTTCCCGGAGCAGAATACCTCATCTTTCTCCCGCGGAACAGCTGGTAGTTTTGAACTGCTGACCTTGAGGTTGGCAGCTGGACTCATAAACACTACGCTACCAGAGCTCCTTAAGGGTTAATTACACTTGTGCAAAAATAGTATGGCGGCCACGTCTGACTTCCTCTGGCTTCACAGGGAGAAGGAGATGCAAACTCAGAATGAGCGCAAGGGCCATTCCTATGAGGCAGAGGTCAGACAGGCCACCACCCTACAACCTTCTCTACCCTATTCTGACACTAACCATCTTCCCACAGCAGTGTGTGCTGCACATCTGGGTTTGATAACCCACTGCCATGGCCACACAGAACTCGTAACAATACTCACAATTACGGTGTTTATTAAGGAAATGAGCAGGGCGCAATTCAGGATCAGCACCATTTCAGGACACAGCAATTCTCCAGTCAGGAATGCCTCCTCTCTGCCATAGGGCAGCTGTGCCTCGTTCTTGTCTTTGGACTTTTAGCCACGTGACCCCTTGGGCAACTATTACAAAGCCGCTTTAGCTGCTTGTAAATGCCCAAAGGACACATTCGAGTAGCCAGCCCCTTGCTTGCCACAGACTCTCAGCATCACTTGGTCCTGGGCCGCAAAGCAGGCAGCACCTCTGGCTCTTCATGCCGCCGCCTCTGCTGCCCATTTTCCAGGCATGGGTCTCACTCTCCACTCGAGCGAGGCTTTTCTTTCTTGATGGTCTGGGATCATCTGTTCCCGCTTCTGAGATGGCTCCTTTTTAACTGAGTGGGACGGACAAACTAACCAATCCAGGCATTAGAGTTCTGGTCCTATATAATCGTTTTGTGGGAGTTAAGGAAGATCGTAGAAGAATTGATGCTTTTGAGTTACAGTGTTGGAGGAGAATATTGAAAGTGCCATGGGCTGCCAAAAGAACCAACAGATGTGTGTTGAAAAGTACAGCCAGAGTGCTCCTTGTAGGCCAGGATGGCCAAACTTTGTCTCTCAAACTTCAGACATATTGTCAGGAGGGACCAGTCACTGGAGAAGGATATCATGTTTGGTAAGGTGGAGGGTCAGAGACAAAGAGGAAGACCCCCAGTGAGATGGATTGGCACTGTGGCAGAATCAATGGGCTCAAGCATGGCAATAATAGTGAAGTTGTCCCAGGACCAGGCTGTGTTTCATTGATTGGCACTGTGGCAGAATCAATGGGCTCACGCATGGCAATAATAGTGAAGTTGTCCCAGGACCAAGCTGTGTTTCATTCTGTTGTACACAGGGTCGCTATGAGTCGGTACTGACTTGATGGCACCTAACAACAAGAAAGACCTTGAATAGAACAGCCATATCAAGCAGCCTCATAGCATCATGGCCTATCGGAGGGCTGCCATGGTATATGTTTCCTTCTTAGCTGCCCTTGAGATGGTACCCAACTCATGCAGCTCTATTAACAATGGGATGAATTTCTGCCCTGTCCGGCACCTTCCCTATTGTTAGCTGTGCATCAGACCAGTATGATCATGAGGTTTTCACTGACAGATTTTCCGAAGAATATAGCTAGACCTTTCCTTTTAGTTGGCCTGACTTTGGAAACTTTTCTGACATCTGTTCAGTATCATAGCAACGAGCACATTTCCTTGAAGTGCACTGACCAGGAATCGAACCCTGTTCAACGACATGGAAGGTGAAAATTCTACCTCTAAACCCCCAGTCTCTTAGTATAGGGTTGTTATTGTTAAGTGACGTCGAGTTGGTTCTGACTCATGGTGACCCTGTATAGGGTTTTCAAGGAGCAGCTGGTGAGTTTGAACTGCCGACCTTGCGGTTCAAACCGACCTTGCTGTCTAGTGCATTATTGC